GCTCCTGGTTTTCTCGTCCAGACAGGAAAAAAAAATATCTGAGGACGATCTTCCCTTTCATTTTATCATAGCGTTCAAAAGTTGGGGAGGACTTTGACTCACAATGTATGATAGATTGGATCTAGCCTCTGGAGGAGTGACATATGAGCAATTTAACGGTTTGGGTCACTCGTAAGATGTGAAATATGCAGGGAAAGCTTTACAGCGATATTTATTAAATCTCCCCCTCCCCTTTAATAGTGCCACATGCCATGCAATTCGAACGGAAGATTCCAATTTTTAGTTCATTCATAGTCATTCAAAAACTCGGAGGCGTGCGCGTGCCGGTATTCTAGTAAAAGCATGTGGAAAAAGCAAGGACCAAGGAGCCGTGAGAGATTATGCTTGCTAAAGTGCGTCTCTTGCTTCCTACACTCGCCTCTTGCATGCAGGGGAGGCTGGTGCGAAAACGAGGAGGGTTTCACGCGCATTCACGCTCCCTCTCACGCGCGTTCACCACCCACGCACGTAAGTGCCGAGATCAAGGAGGGTTTGTATATATGCGTTCCTTGCCAATCCGGGTATGAGAGGCCTGCACGGGTCGTTTTTTCGAGCCCGACCCGTTCGGCCTGATTCGAATCATGGCCAACGCACGACCTGAAACTGGATCACCGACCGAACTCTGAGGGCCCAACTAGCAGATCGCCCATAATCCGCTTAGGCCTCTAAGCTCGAGAATTCCCTGGTCCCCAATGAAGGGTTCGCCATCCTCCTACCGGAACGTAGATTGCCAATCGGACTACACGCCCTATCCGTGGGTCAGGTAAAATCGATCGAACCATGCCATTTCCTATTCTTCGTCCGTTACTCGTTCGTTCGAAATTCCAAGGAAGGGTCTCTCTCGAATGCGAGTTCCCTCCTGACGGAACGCATTCTCTATTTTCAATTCAAAGCATGACTGCGAGAAATGCAACATAGCAACTTGGCAACTCCCAAGCCCAGCACGCCTTCGCTGTGGAGCAATTTCCTCGTGAAGTAACGTTGCAAAGTGAATGTCCTCAATCATCAAATATGCATAAATATATATAAATTAGTAATCATGAAGCTGCCACCTGGGTGGCTTTTCCCCGCTTTTTCAAATCTGGGGATCTTTTTTCCGGGTGGCTTCTTTCGAACCCCGAAGAAAAGTGCTTCGAAGGATATAGGCATCAGACTCCAGAAAGAGTCACCACACCGTCATATAGAAATTTAGTCGGAACTTTTTCATCAGGCTACGTATTTCCCTCACTGATCTCTTTTCTTGCTCTGGTATGAATTTAAGGGATCGTCCAGTCTGCTGTTTTTCTACCACTCTTTTCTTCTATTTTTGGGGAACAGGGGGGGGGGAGAATGATGTATTTATTTTAAGGAATTTCTCATGGAAGTGTGAACTGGGCTTCATGACCCTGTATTTTCACCTTCAGAAATCTGGGAAATCTTTCTAAACCCCCCAACTAAAGCCCCAAGGACATGAGAGGGAAGTCTGCATTTCATGACCCAAGCGAAGAGTCGGACATTTCCATGCGGCCCATGATTCCGAACAAAATGACCCCGGACATTTTGACCCCAGAAAATATGGTCCTAGGACAAAATGGTACATGAGAGGGAAGTCTGCATTTCATGACCCAAGCGAAGAGTCGGACATTTCCATGCGGCCCATGATTCCGAACAAAATGACCCCGGACATTTTGCCCCCAGAAAATATGGTCCTAGGACAAAATGGTCCCTTCAGTAAAAATGTACAATGACGACTCATTAAGAGTTAACGATGATTTTAGTATTGCGTCATTTACTCATGAATAACTTATGAATTAAGTCTTCTATTATCTTGAAGTTTCAAAGCATTGGGAGCTACGATTCAAGATGTTAATTTCTACCATATCATTTTTAGAGCAGTACTAAAGGTTCCCCGTCCCTTTCTCATTCTCCTTCTTCTATCTTGGCCATCCCCTCCCTCTTCCCTTACTTTTCCCTTACTTGCCCCGTTTTTTGTCCACGATCCTTGTTTTCGTACCTACTCCCCTCCCCCATCCCCCATACGCTCCCCTTCGCCCACCTCCGCTCACCCTCTCCTTTCTCTCCGCCTGTCAATCTGGCTCAGGCAATCTTATTATTATAAAACTAGCAGCTACCTGTGAAACATTCACGTATTCCTATACGAGTATGGACTTCTGTCCCATATCTACATAATAAAAGTTTATATGAAACGCAATTTGAATTTTGAGTAGCCATATATCGTTTCAAAAGTATTGGGTGCGGCCCACTCATTCAGCCCCCCTCCCCCTTAAATGCCCAATTTCCCCAAATACCAAATTTCAGGGGGTTCCAATCAAAAATAGTAAGAAAATGAAATACACCTTAGAAATTTGGGACTCTGGGGTATCAGATGAAGAAGGGGATATGCTTCCTATCCTCAGTGAGCCCTAACTTCCCTTCATAACGATTTTAATTGAGTTATGCCTCGAAAGATTCTAAAGGGACGACGTTCAAATTTGAAACTGGCACGATTTGGAAGCGTTACATCATCAGGGATTTGAATGCATGCAAATTACCAGCGAGTTCCGCCTCGTAGCGTCCAAGTGAGATACGTAGTTCGAATTTCGAAAACTCGGGAATTGAATAAAGTGTGATTTTGAGCCCAGCACGGGATACGAACCAGCTCTATTGGACCATTCCGATCCGCAGATCGGGCGAGCAACTCAGTTGGCAATCAAGTTTTCTGTTGGGTGCACAGGAATATCCTACCAAGTATTTTTTTTTCCAGCCGTTTACATCTGCTGTCAGAACATAGTGAACTGAGCACTTAACAGGTCAACATGAATGTGATGTCAATGGCAATCAAGTTTTCTGTTGGGTGCACAGGAATATCCTACCAAGTATTTTTTTTTCCAGCCGCTTACATCTGCTGTCAGAACATAGTGAACTGAGCACTTAACAGGTCAACATGAATGTGATGTCATGATGAGCGTCATCAGAGCTGACGAACCCATAGACCCAGAATTCTGTGGCTTAGAGGTTTAAGCGGGCTGCGGGTCGGCCCGATCGGGTCGGGTAGGACCACGATTACGTATCGGACCAATCAGGTCGGGTTCGGAAAAGTCCACCCGTGCAGGCCTCCGGCAATCAGACGGAGGACATCGGTTATTAAATAGATTTTCCATATCCTCCCTTCGTTGATGACTTGATGGTTGGTTTCAGCTTTGTGTTCGGTCGTAATCCAGTTAAGGTTAGATCACCCGAGCTGCTGTTTGTGCGAAGCTGCAAGGGCAGTCATCTTCACACTCTTCACGCTTATTTTTCGCTGATTTTATGAAGAAGCTCAACTTAATGCTTTTTCAAACTCTTCCACTAAGGACCAAGGCTAGTATAAGAATGTCAAAATCCCAGTCTCATCTAAGTTCAGTCATCGTCTATCTTGGCTGAGGCTACAACGCAACGGGGACAATGAAAGATTGCAGTTCAACCTCAACTGGCTTACGACGGGCACAAAGCTGAAATCAGTCATTGAGTCATGAAGAGGGGAGGATATAGGAAACTTTAAAATAATAAGATAGCCTGAGCCAGATTGACAGGCGGAGGTGGGCGAAGGGGGGCTTATGGAGGGAGGGAGGGAGGGGGAGTATGTATGAAGACAAGGATCGTAGGGAGGATATAGGAAACTTTAAAATAATAAGATAGCCTGAGCCAGATTGACAGGCGGAGGTGGGCGAAGGGGGGCTTATGGAGGGAGGGAGGGGGAGAGGGGGAGTATGTATGAAGACAAGGATCGTGGGCAGCAAAAGGGGCAAGTAAGGAAAATACGTAAGGAAGACACTGCTCTAACAGAATTACGGATGAATTTTTAATACGTTGCTTGACAAGCGAGTTATTCCGTCTGAACATGTAGCATTCCCGCCCGAGTCAACCATCGAATCATCCGCCGGCACTCCTTTGAAAAGATATTCCGAGCCGGAATCTGAATGGAATTTGATCATTAATATTTCGACACAATCAGAAGACATTGCTCTAACAGAATTACAGATGAATTTTTGATACCCTGCTTGGCAAGCGAGTAATTATGTGCTAACTTGCAATTATTGCAATTATTGCAATTCGAATGAAGAGTCTTACTTGAATGTTAAGAAACGGAAATCGCTGAATTTGCATGAAACTTTGTATGTAGCCAATTGGGGATTTTTTCATGACCAAACATACCACTTCTTTCTAATTCAAGGCGTGGCTGATCGAAATTCGAACATTAGGCACCTTAAGCGATTCACTGAAGCGTCCTAAGGAGCATCCTACATTTTAGATCAGTCAGATCTATCGATTTATTATAATTAGCTTATCACTTGATGTTAAATGTTTAAGGCAGTGACCATTTTGTCCTGGAGTCTGAGAGGCAATAGAAAAGAAAGTGCAAAGGGAGGAAAAAGAGTCTTATTCCACGCTAGCCGAAGGGAAGGGAACCTTTGCTAATCCCCTGAGGGAGGGTCTGGGGCCACAGTCCCCAGGCGGACCAGAATTTGGGCTTCAAATTCGACCGCATATATACACGCGGCGAAGGTTAAGACCCAGTAAGACCCCTTTTCCTCCGCTTCTCGGAGTAAGAAAGAGGGGGATTGAAGGTGAAGCAGATTGACCCGCCATAGCTCCGAGGCAGATGTCGACATTACTGGTTTTCCACCACCGGAGGGGAGCCACTTCAGAGGTTTTCTTGTCAAGGAGGGAGGGGGGAGGGGGGAAGAATATCACACGACTATCTTCCCTTTCAACTCCGTCTCCCTTCGTTCCAGATTGCATGTCTGCACAGATGCCTGAAAATAAAATATATTTCCTCTATGCCATTCTTCTCTGCCATCGTCATGCCGTCATGGATTGAAAAAGGAATTCTTTCAGAACGATATTTCCAATGGCGCATGGCGTGATGGCATTGTTCTACAGAGTGCTTGGGTTGATCCCCATAACGTAATTCCGGTACGTCCTGTAATCACAAGTAATTAATGGGTTAATCGACTCTGAGTAAATTTCATTCGCATAAAAGACATGGAATCAATATTCGTTTTTAGGTATGGTGAAAATAAATATTTTTGGCTGTCTGTTTCTGTTGAGCCTGATGAGAAAAAACGTTCACTATTTCAAGTGTGAGAAAAGAAACTAGGAAATAGAGCTCCGCATTCAAAATATTCGTTTTTAGGTATGGTAAAAATAAATATTTTTGGCTGTCTGTTTCTGTTGAGCCTGATGAGAAAAAACGTTCATTATTTCAAGTGTGAGAAAAGAAACTAGGAAATAGAGCTCCGCATTCAAGCCTCCTTTACTCATTTTCCTTGTCCTTTCCCGCGCTAGTAAGGACCCCAACTCCTCCAGGCAGTATTGTGAAGTCGTGTCAGAATGAAGCCGTTCTCTCTATTTTGAGAGAAAAACCTGTTCCCCATCCCTCTCTTCTCTGAATTCTTGAAAAGGCTGAAGCACACTCAGTATACCCTAGCCAAAGGAAGGACTTACTTTCCCATTCAGAGTGTCAGAGCAAAGGCGAAATAGGAGTAGTGACTTTAGGATTCCGCATGGGTTCCCGTTCGTGTCGCATGGACCATGTCAATCGGTTGCCATGTGCTGGAATGGATTCAGGTGAGGACGAAAGTGTACTTAACCCTGTTATTCCCAAGCAGAATCATATCCCATAATGAATGTATTATTAATATTGCTACTCATTATTACTACTAATTATGATTAACATTACATATTATTAGTGTCACTACTTTCAGACTAAGTCACAGAAAAGGTGAAGAAAATTTTTTTCCTTCAAATTTCGGGACGCGCCGCGGACCGGATGGAATGTCACCACAAGCGGTAGGTTGGGCACCCCTGATGTAGATGGACCCTCAATGCTGAAAGGGGCGTCCTTCCAGCGCAGGGAGCGGGGGAGGAGCTTCCCTTCTTCACCTTTCATGGTCACAACCAAGCAGTTCCCCTTCAGTCTGTGATCGTGAAGCTGCATTAGTGCATCGTCTCAAAACACACCAGACGCATTTCCTTCCTTGTCAAGTTTCAGCTTTATTTGCTCAACTTGTGGTCTCGGGCTTCTTTGGCTCCAGTCATAACCTGCATTCTTCACTCCTGTCTCTTCCGTTTCATTTCCTTTTCCTCCTATCTCTCCTTCCCATATTCATATTTTAAAAGTATTTGGTGTCCTGCTTTCATTCATATTATTTCCATTGTCTTTCTTTCAGTTTTTTTTTTTACTTTTTAAAGTAATTTCAGTTATTCAATTTTACTATACCCGAATTTCCCTACTGATTACTTTTTTTCCCATTTCGAGAGCATCCGTTTCGAGAGCCCAGTCCAGTGATGACAGAAAGGTCTCCTTCAACACCTCGTCCCAATGACTCACCTGGGGACCATCCTGCTTCGTCTGCGCGTAAGTTCGACTAATTCAGTTCGTCTGATACTCGTTGTTTCAAAATTAATTACGATGGTTTTATTTTCATTAGCAAAGCAGAGCTTTAGTCATTTTTAGTTTATCACTAAAGAATTAAGTTTTCATCAATTTCTACATATTTAAAATTTCCAAGAAATTTCTTCCCAGCAAGAAAGTGACTGCAACTGTCGAACAAACTCCCATTGCTTGCATTGCTTGCCCACTGCTTGTAAAATTCCACATAAAAATATGACTCCTATATCATTCGAAAGAGCATTCAAAGATCTATATGACGACGTGAGTTTCGTTGTTAGTCAGGTATCGAAATGTTATGATTTTTCGAATAGTGCTAGGTTGTGGCATTGGTTCTATTCAATATTGCCTTTGGTAAAAACTTGCTCGACTGCTTCATTTATATTATATTAATTTTTTTTTTATGCATTCATATTCCATTCCACATTATAATATCTTATGTTCCTGCGCAGAGTGTGCAGTTTTCAGTTTCAACAAGAAGTGGATATACTTCCAAGCCAGAAGCAGGAGTATCATCGTCATGGTCAGCGAAAATAAGCAAGACCGAGGACGCCCTTTGAAGACCAAAGGGAACAAGGAAGAATATCCCGGCATCATATCTGCAAAACCCCACGAGAATCCATGCAATGTTGAGGTAAGGTCCTCTGCACTCCACAGTAGTGTGTCCTTTCAG